CATAAACAAAATAATCTCTAAACAAATATATTAACACAGAATAATCCATTATGTAGGAGACATCTACTTTTATCGTAATTAGAAAAGGAAATAGTGTTTATTTGCAGTAATGTTTATAAAAAGGCTTTCATAGGATGTATAATATATCATGTGTATAAAATTAAAGTAGCTTACTTATTAAAGTGTGTGTGATAAATATTATCAATGATATTGGATAGTGATATTGTAATATTGTGAATTGACTGAAATTAGACATGTAAATTATTGGATGCTAATTTAGTAGTTTAAGAGTTAATCGGTCGCTATTAAACCTGAAGATCCTAGATTCAACCTTCTCCATGATATTGGACATGGACTATAAAGGAGTCCCACTCAAAGGCGAAACATCTGTTCAATGTTTCCTAGTTTTCAGTGGTTGTCTCACTGAGATCATTCAGTGATATAAACTATGAAATTAAAACCGATCATTAAATATAAATTAAAATTATTCCTTTTTAAAAAATAATATAGTCGATGTACTCAAGACTCGACGGCATTTTAAACAGAAACATGTATAATGAAAGTATCACAAAAAAATGATGTAAAAACAAATAAAAACTTACTACCTGTCATATTTCTATTCCTTAACTTCTTGTGTTGATCAATGAAAAAAATACGGACTTATATGTAGTAATATATGGGGAGAAACAAGATAGATAGTAGTAATTTAACTAAATCAAAGTATCATTGTAATCCACATTTATTTCTCTTAACATTACTAATATACTTCAAGCATATAAATAGTGAATTGCTAATTAATCATTTATTTATGGCTCTCTAAAAATATAAATATATAGAGCCCAACAATCATAGTGTACCATTTTCAATTACCATACCGTTAAGTAGTTAAGAAGTAACAACCCATCCAAAATAAAGAAACAAGACTAAAGTTAAGCATGAACATTAACTGGATGAAAACAAATAATTATAGAACTATCAATATAGGGTTGTGAAGATTGTTAAATTATTGATTGAGATCTTAAATCAGCCGATGTTAGGAGCAAATCCATGTCAGGTAGAGACAGTTATCTACCTCAAACAATGGGAGATGGTCACACAATTTCGTGAATCAATTGAAGTTAGACATTAACACCGTTGAATGCCGGCCAGTTCAGTGGTCTAGTGGTTAAGCATTTGCACATGAGACCTAAGGTCGTGGATTCGAGTCCCTCTGAAGCGAGATCGTGGATGAGCACTACTAAGTAGTCCTATACTAGCACGAAACAACCGTCCACTACTTCCGGGTTTTCAATGGCGGCCTAATATCGATCGATTCATGATTTCAATCAAAAATCATAAGATTATTAGATCAAGATATTAGTAAAACATGAAAAATAACTGCATCATTGTAGTTATATCACCTAAAGACTTTTAGTTGAACATGATAAATATAGACCTTTAAGTCAAAAACTTGGTAGTTAAAATTTCGATATATTATGATATCGTTTATTTACTATCTTACTTCTGATATAATTAATATAACAAGTCATAGCTTATCATTTAGAACTTTTCAGTAATACATTTCATAAGGTTGTCTTTTTTATCACGTCACACTGTGAAGAAATTTTGACAGTCATTAAAACTAACATTCAAGTAGATAACATTATTGACATTATGTTAAAATTGAACACTCAAAGTTATTACTGACCTTGATTTATATAAAGACAGTTTTATGATTTGGTTGTGTTTTTTTGGTTTTTCTTGTCAAAAACAACGTCATGAAACTAATTATAATTTTTGTGAAAAATTATGACAAAAATATTTTTTTATGAAAGAAAATCATAAATCAACTTGTTAATCGATATAAACAATAACTGTGGACAAATAAGTTTAGAATATTGTTAAATTTATAAAAGAGAAAAACGGTGGTGACTCAATATATATTTTCCCATATATGTATATATTTATAATGAATGGGTAACAACTAAATAACAGTTTGTTTCATTGACCAGAAAAAATACATTTAACCAATAATCAATAATGTAACGTTTAGATACTTTAGTTTATTATACAATTTTCAGTAAACTTACGAATATTGTTTGAACTAATATGACATCTAAGATCTATGAGATCTTATATAATTGAACATAAATAATACTGTCTGTACAGTTTCACAATTATGCTTTATGAAAGTTGCTGTAAAAGTTCATTTGTAAATCATTGTAATCAATGTTTTTTTAACAGTTGAATTCATAAGCCGAATTAGGTTAGACCACCATTAAAAGCCTGACCAGAAGAGTTCGATCAGTGTCGAGTAGAAACAAGTATCTACCTCAAACAATGGGAGATGGTCACACAATTGCGTGAATTAATTGAAGTTAGACATTAACACCGTTGAATGCCGGCCAGTTCAGTGGTCTAGATGTTAAGCGTTTGCACATGAGACCTAAGGTTGTGCGTTCGAGTCCTTCATCTATTAAAAATTATTGCGATCTCCACAAAACCCTCATTCTAGTAATGTTTTTTGTAAATTTAATTTCATAATTCTCAGTTAATTACCAGAGAAATAACTTTTTCACTGGTTGAAATCATGAGTCAATTGAAGCTAGATCATCATGGAAAACCTAGATGCACTGTGAGACTCCTCAGTAGTATTTACACAACAGTATCATATTTCTTATTTTATCTCAATCTTTATAACAGTATTTATTGTTCAGTTTTCAAGTTGAATAAAAATCTTATTTCTTAATGTTTTATCTTCATTAAAACATAAATATCTTATTCAATATGTAGATTTCAATTAAACAATTACTTCATTAAAAATTCAATCTATTCATTCACATTTGATTCATAATTTGATTTTTATCAAAATGGATTGTGTAATTCATTATTAACCAATATATCAATAAAGTAAACTTATATAAAATGTTATTTACATAGTTTTTTTTTCAAAAAATGAAACTTCCGTTTATTGTTTATCACAGTAATCGTTACTTCCTAATGAATTATGTATAATGATTATTGCGTAATTATTTATTATTCATAATAATGACGTCAGTCGATTGTAGAATTTATGATTGGTTATTATAATCTTATTTATAGAGAAAAAAATTGCATAGTAACATGCAAATAAAATTTCAAGATGAATAAAATAATTCTGTCAAATTTCTAACATGAAAAAGAATACAGAATGTAAGTAGAACTGTAGATTTGGTATAATTGTCATTTAGATTAATCATAATGTTGCTTTTCTTCTATTTAAAATTATCTTCTTTAACTACCTTAAGTGATTGTTAAATGAATGATCTCTTGAAACATTCTTTAACTACAATAGACTATTTAATATAAACAATGGTTCAATAAACTACTAGTGACTGGGTATGTTCTCAAGATTATTAATATCAATTCTAACATAATTAAAATTAATATAAGTAGTTGATAATGTCATTTTAAAACTAGATTTATATAGAACTATACAATTATCGAGATAACAGAAGATAGAAGTGAAAGATCATTAATTGATTTTAGAACCTGATTAATTTTTCTCTTATTTAGTCATTTACTATTTGATGTGTAATTGTTTTAACTATTGAAATGAATGGAATAGCCTCAGAATATTCCAATTGTTCCGTCAATCTGTTGTATGATTATAACAGTTAAACTAATAACTAATATGTAAAGTATGTCATTATTTACACATGTTTATTCATGCTAATAATACGTTTAATCAAAATAATCTTTTTTTATAAAAATGGACAGTCTAAATTCAAGATTTATGAGGTCAAAAAATATTCTGAATTAAAATAATGTATTTTATGAATTATGAATCTCTTTATACACGACTGCTTAGTCAGTTTTCAATATACAAAGCATGTTATAATAGCTACTGTTTGATTGTGTGACAATCTTGTGTTTCAACTAACAGTGGAAAAGAAGACAACCATATATTATAGTGAAATGAAGCATGTTTAACAAGAAAAGTCACTTATCAACCAATCAATTCTACATTCATTTTATTGTCAATCTTGAATGAAAGAAAGAAATATCGATAAAAATGATGTATTTATAGTTAGTACAAAGTTCAGTAATCATCTTTACAATTCAATTAGCCTTTTAGAAAAAGTTATACAGTATGTTATGGTCTTTCATAGGATGGTAAAGACATGAAACTGTGGTATTTGGGTTGTTTAACGAAGAATCTAATGGTTTTAAAGAATTCATTGGTTAAATTGTAAGTTGAATTGCATATGGAAACAATCTACGTATATTCTCCAGTTCTACGTACTGTGTCTCACAGTCAAGGAATAGCAATGGAAACACTTTTCTTTAGTGTAATTGCATTATCATAAATATTGTAAATTTGGCCAGTGTTGGAGGAGAGTAGATTGATAAATGCCTTATAAACTGTTTTGTACCCACATAAAATTTATCAAAGATCAATGTTGTTCTACTAAGACACATTCCAGACAAATGAAGTGTTAAATGCACTTAAATTTTTATTTCCACATATTATTAAACTGTTTGTCACCACAGATCATTTCTGGGGAATCGACTATAATTTAATGTGTACACAATGTAACCCAAACAGTTGCATACAGTTCGATTCTTCCATTTATAGCTTTTTGAAAATTTCAACTCTGATGTTATCACCATAACTTACTTCTTACCTACATATTAAGGAAAATATCAACTCTAAAATATCTATTATCAGGAAGTAAAATCACAGAGCCATCATCAGTATGTATAAGATTCACAATCGACATGTTTAATTAAAATTAAAGTGGTAGGTGTTTCCAGATGACGAGTCCCAACTAACACGGAACGCATGTTTCAAACTACACTGCTAGTCACACTCCATCTAATCTATGATAAACTGTTAATATAATTAAAATATTTGATGCGACCGATTTAAATTAAAATAGTATTTTGACTAAAGTGAGCTCACTAGTTCAGGTGAGTTTGGCGACGTAAGATAGATGTTGTTATTTTGTAAGTGACTGGTTACAATACTGATATCTTACTTGACTAGTGAATTAATCACAGCACGTCCATCACGTACCATGTGAACGAATTTCGCCTCAGGAAATATTTCTGCCAAATATTCAAGATGAATAAATGATAGTGGATCTTTATTACACAGAACAAGTGCATTTTCTCCAGCATTTTTGATTAAAGACAATATAAATGACCGCACAGCAGAATCGACTGCAACGGGATATAGACCAGCAGCTGTAAGTCGTTCACTTTCTTTTCCTCTACTCCACTGACTTCGTAAGTTGAGGATCTTGGGTATTACTCTAGTTTCAGGACCGCATCGAATCATTGGATGTACATCTAACAAGACACGCATAAGAGTAGTGCCTGTATGTAAAGAATAAAATACTTTCATATAATATAACTACTGAGTAATCATATTACTCATTTTATATAAACTTTGATAATGAATATGAATGTAGACAGTGGATTGAGAAGTCAGATTTTATCAGAACTATGCGATATATTGGTACAAGATATTTTAAAGAACCTGATCACGTATTAATAGTTTTTAATGTATTATTATAAAAAATAAAGGTTAAAGTAGATATATGTGAAACATGAAAATAACAGTATATATCATACAAATCGTCAGTGGGTGTAATGTATGTACCGACTGTTTTTTAACACACAATAAAGATTCAAACATTTGTACAACTACGCTTTCAATAAACTGAAGTATTTGCACTTTCAGTGTCTGGTTGTTCAAAGTGGAGAAGGATAATTGTTTTTCATTTGTTCTTGTTGGGTAACTGGAATATATTTAATTTTACAATACTTTCGGTACATCTCTAATTCTAATACTTTTAAGTCATAATCACTCTTCCCGCCATATACATGACCACATATACATGAATATGAAAATAATCAAGTGGGAATAAATCAATAATTCATAAAATATAGTTGCTGAATGTCACCTTCCTTAAATAAATATTAAACGAAGAAAAAAGGTAAGTTTATTGGCATGAAAAAAAGACTTTTAGGCATAAAAATTAACAGCTGTCAGGTTATACGAATTGTCTGCTGATTTGTTTCCATGATTACAATAAACTAGAAACCATTTTCAGTTCCAGAATAATATATGATCAGGATATGGTGATACGGTCTGGGGAGACACTACTATGCAATCAAAAATTATTTAACCTAAGTCAATGAATAAATGATTTCTGTTAATCGAAAACAACAAGTATTTAGGAATGAAGTGAAATGATCAACATAAGCAATGACTTTTATAAATAAATGAAATTTTTTACAGATCTAATTTTGTCCATAGCAATCATGATTGCTATGACTTTATGCATGAAGTCATGTAGTTCGCAAGGGAAGACAGTTACAATTATTGTCTATATTCATAGACGAACAGAATAACAGTGATAGAGAGAATACGAAGTTATTGAGTACAGAAGATATGTACAAACTGGATAAAATAATAAAATTGATAGTAATTACCAAAAAATAATAATAATGCAATCATAATAGTAGTGATAATAACAACAATACTAGTTGAACATAGTATAGGTGAACCCAATTACTTGAATGATTATATTGATAGGGGGACTAAACACTTGAATAACGTTAAAATCTCAACACTAGTTATGACGACCATAAATTATCAATAAAAACAGAAATTCACTGTACAGTGAAGTCATTATTGCGAATAAATACAAGTTCGTGAGAAAGGTGATGAATGTTTGTAGACGTCATATGTGAAATAAATGAAACTGAATTTTAAACAATTTGCGAATAATGTAAATAATCAAGTACAGCTGGAAGTAACTAGAGGTTGTATATTATCTACGTTTATTCATGAACAGGCTTTTGGTTTCATATGTGACCACAAGATTGACAGCAGGAAAGATCAGAGCAATGGTGAAGGGAAGTTTGACAAACGCATTATTTTTAGTAACCATGTCTTGTTGTGTTATTCTATTTGTTGACTTGAAATGTTTACGTTCAAAATCCTTATGATAGCTATTCATGACTGACATTCCTTGAATAATTTACACTTTGCCATTTAGTGAATTTTTTTAAAAAACCTGTCTACCCCCAAATACAACATTCTGAAAAGATTTATTTTATATAAAGTAAAAAGTCTATCGAAATATCAATATTTTCCCTTCCAGGAAGTTTTATATGAATGAAAGATGAAAACAAGGTCATCTCTGTTTCTTTCTCATTTTGTTTAAAAAGTTCATCTGACTTTTAATTTAGTGATTGGATGTGGATTTTAAATTCAGGTGAGGCAAATTGAAACATTTAAGTAACTGACTAGAAAAGTCTTTGGTATTACAAACAATGATAGTTCCATTAACAAAATCGACGTTATTTTATCGCATCTTTGAGTTTGAGCATTTCGTGGATGTCCACGAAAAATATCAGCCAATATTGTGCCTAATGGATTACCTGTAACTCTACCCCTTGTTAATCGACTACACTTTCCATTATAATTGAATTCACGCATATTTGTGAATAACAGTAATGATTGCTTTGTCTTCTACTTCGTAAAGTCAATCCCATTAGTGTTAATATAAGAGAAGAACCAATCACTTGTGTTTCTGACGAAAACTTTGTTTAGCTTTATTTTTGAACATATTGTTAATAAGGTGAAATTTATAAAGAAAACTTTCTGATTTCCCAGTAATCTATTAAAATATCAATCAAGATAAAAGTTCCAGAATTCGAACAGTTATTACATTCGTTCTGGGTGAAAAAGGTTATAGATGGATCCAAATAAATGTAAGCTTATAGATGTTCTTCTTTATTGGAAATAACAGTTTTTCGTCAAATACGTGAATCCAGAACTTTGAAGAACATATAAGATATACTAAATAAATTATCATTACTTTTTATCATTGCACATTACGAAAGTGTTATTCAACAACTAATCTATACAGTAAAATTCAAAATGAAAGATCACTGTTATCTCACATAACATTAGCATGTCAATAAATGGCTAGAAATTTCCAAGCAACAAGGAGATATGTATGAAACCAAAAGAATATTTTCTCTGAAATACTAAGTACCATCTTATAAAAAATGGGACTAAATCAAAATATATCTATACATTGCATTATAATTCTTTAAATATAAAATTTCAGCAAATAAATTTCGGTGTTTTAAGGCATTAAATGTGTTTAGTAAAACCTCTAATACATACGTTTAACATCATGATCAACGCCCAATTTTCACATTAAATATCATACTACCATTTGTTACACATACCGAAGTAAATTTCTCAACACAGTAATTCACAAAGATAGTTGATAGCTTTACTGTCAGTTTTATTATTAGTGTTTATGAAAAAGCAAAACCAAGATGTATACTTACCACTTCTTGGATAACCTCCAATAAATACAATTTGTTGGGGTGTTTTCCTAATACTATTCGTATCAGGTTCAATTACGGTATAAACTCCAATTAAAATATAATAAGATAAAGCAATTCCAAACAAAAGGAGTATTATATACAAAGGTATAGATCTTTGAAATGTAATCTGAAGTAAGGAAAAATTCAAAACATGAAGAAATTGGCTGAATAAAAGGTCATTTTGAATAAAAATGCTTACTGGATAATGAGGTCGACAAATGAAATAGAGTGTAAATCTAAATCACTGAAAGATTTTAAACAACTATTTCTAGTAGTTTATGTCTTCTGCATACTCATAATATGACAATAAAATAAATACATGAAATATACCCCCATAGAAACTCAGTCACTGATTAGTGTTTCGTTGAATCGTTTAGATAAGAAACACTCATTCACTTCTGACGATTTCGTTCCAATAACTTAAATAACGTATGATTGATTAACGAGATACTCACCTTTTTAGTACAGTTTTATACAGTCTTGATATCATCACGTTTAAAATAATGTAGTATTCCCATTAAGTTTACTTTAATCGAATAACGAAGTCTAAATTTATTGGACAAATTTAAAGTCAATTTTTGAGTTGATAGATAAACTATTATTCACTAAACTGTAGGAAATATGAGTCATATTAGCATCACTATGTCAATATCCCAAACATTTGTGTGGTATAGCCACTAAATAAAGTTGTTCTACCCAAGTAAATTGATTCATGGTTACTAATACCATGTTGTCAATTATTTACTGCTAATCAAAGCTTACTAACTAAAAAGATAATCTTTGCATAGTCTTCTGCTTCTAGCGACAATCATCATAAACTTAAAAGATCAGGTTATATGCCCATTAATGATCACGATCTCTCCGAGACTTTCGATAATGCAATGAGATGACGAAGTTTATCAGAATTATGTGATATATTTGCGCAATACATTTCGAACAATCTGATCACACATATACTTGTTAAGAACATTTATATATGAAAGTTAAAAGGTCAACTAGACAGTTTAATGGTAAGTCATAATAAAGGAAAAAATATTAAAGTACACAAAAACAAATGTGATTACCACTCCTTATAATAAATCAGTATTACCAGGGTAGGTTAAGTGTAAGGACAAAATGTTTTTGAACACATAAAGAGGGTTTCAATTTCCGTATAGCCAGGGCTTCAATAAACCTTAGTATACGTCCTTGAAGGCTTTTGTATAATACTACAAATGCTGATTTGATGTCAACCTTATGACCCGTCTTAATCAAATATTTCGCAATTGAGGAAGATGTCTGTCTATCCTGTGATCTTATTTGACCATTGGAATCCATTTGTTTCTACAACCATTTCGGTATGTGTTCACCCACCCTTAATTGCAAATCACGATTCCTCCTCCCTATGTACTTGTTTCTACACATACATGTAAATTGATAGACACAATGGGATGTGACACAATCGCTTTCGTGCTGTGGCAGTAAATAAATTCCCAAAATAAATAGCTTTGTAAATTTTCGACATTGCATGCTGACCATGTTAGTTTTAATGGACTCACCTAGCTGAAGGCGCCCGGTAATGCATCCGCACCAGATCATGAATGGGAAAGGCCGTGATCAACATCCCTGCAGTCGCTAGCCAGATTAGATCAGACGATCCTCCATATATTGATAGCTTATCAAATATACCTTCGAACCTCTTCGCTTCTGTCTTTTGATTTCACTTAGTGGGTACGGTTCATATTAGGTGTTACTGGTGGAAGCGTTGTCAAACTCTGAATACCTGTGGTATCTTCAGTGCTGTTTCAGCTTTTGGTGAAACATAGACCCTGTCTTTTCAATAATGACAAGTTGGGCTGCATAGAATGTCCGATTGATAGCTAATTTAAGTCTTCGTTCCAACATGAGACTATTTCTGTCGCCTCTGAATGGTGACGTGATATAAAGTTGCTTTTTGGGTTCCAGAAGCGTCATAGGTCTAATCGTATTGCAGCCCTTCCAGTGGTTTATGAACTTCAAAGAATGACCATTGTCCCTTAACGTATCAGTCAAGAGCTTCGTCTCCACTTCAATAGTATCACTAGTACAAATACGGTTGATTCTATTGAATAAGCCCTTTATTAAACCACGTTTGTAATGAATAGGGCAGTGACCACGAAAATTAAGATATTGCCCCATCCATGTTGGCTTTCTAAATATAGAACGTTGGATGGAACCATCATCTCTCCTACTAATCAGGATGTTCTTAACATTTATATGTGTGAACAGATTGTTTGAAATATATTGCGAAAATATATAACATAACTTTGATAAACTTCGTCTTCCCATCGTATTATCGAAATCGATCATAGCGATTGATTGTTTTGAATCAATTATATGTTGAGTGTGAACACATCTAAGAATATAGCTAACACAAAATATTCAGAAGAAGGGTTTGTGGAGATTTTAGTAATTTCAGTAGATGTGATCTTGAATCAATTGAAATTAGACCACCATAGAAAACTGGAAACACTAGACGGTCGGGAGTGAGTTTTACGATTTTAACGTTAAGATTGGTTTTGTCATTCTCAAAACTCAAAAGTTATACCAGTGTTTACAATGGAAAAGCATGCAATGAAAAGTTCAGTTCATCATATTCGTCAACCGTTTCACATATTTTCTGGTCATTCTGTTAAGGAAGAAAGTGCATTTTCAATACACTTATGCTTAAGTTAGCAAACCATTTATGCAACAAAACTCAGTATGCGTAATAAAATATACTATACGACAGAGAAAAAGTAACTACAATTCTTTCCGTGCCCGTCATTTCAAGTTGGCATACTTTAGCGTAGTGTTGCCAGATTTGTTAACCATCGGAGGTTGCATCGTATTTATGGAAAGTATGTCGTTCGATAGTACAGTAAAAACGTCGACCGGTAACAGTTTGTCCTACAAGTAAGTAACTCCCAGCCATTGCATGCTAACGCTGTGTAGTATGTTCATAACAGTTCAATGGATTCTCGGAAACAAGCGGATTGCAAATGCGGACTACGATGGTAAGTGAAACGTGAAAACAATAGCACACTATCCAGCAGCTAACAGCCTCGTCGAAAATTTTCACTGCCAAATAAAAACCTATCTCATCACTTGTCTAATACAACCTAACGCACGTGAACTTACGCCACGAACAAATATTTAAATATCTAAAACAATACCAAATAACAATCTCGTTGGACACGTTTTATCTCACGTCATACAAAATATTTCTTGTCAAGTACACATGAACACTCTGGACCTACGTCTGATATTCCTTAGAATTTTTGTGCCTACAGTGTCATAGTTGCGGATATATATTTTGACATGTGAACACTCACTCTTCTGGTAGTAACAAGTAACTTATAGTTCATGTATACATTCGCTCCTGTGTTCTATTAATTTATTATTTTTATACGTTTTGAATCACTAACTGAGTTAAAGTACTTTCATATTTGTATCAGTCCACCATAATACTAATGTCTTCAATATGAGCTATTTTAGGTGGTCGTGTGAGATGTCCCATACACGTAATGACATATGAGTATACACTTAATTTTGTCAAGAATCCTACCCAGTCAAAGTGAACAAGGTTGAAGCACTGATAAAGTTTTGTGAAAGATCCCATGAAGCACCTAAGATTTCTGATAACCTACACAGGAGCGTGTCAGCACCATCGCGTTTTTTTCGAAACAGGACAGCAAAGTCACTCTCAGAATAAGAACTGAAATCTATTCGCGTTTTATCTGGTCACAGATCATTCGTTACTAACTGTGATGTTTAGAAATCAGCAGCCAACTGTTGGTTAGTACAAATATATTCTAGGTATTTTTCAAATGTTCATGTGTGCCGACAAACAGGAATTTTACTCATACATTTAAATACTCGCAACATTTATAGGTAAGAATAATTCTATTTCCCCCCTTAAACTAAAGTGTCTGAGGACGAAACAACGTTAACTTCACTATTAGTAAGATCACATAATTATTAGTTCGACTACTAGAAATTTCATAGTTTACACTATGCATTAACTGAAACTAGACAGACATAAGAACACCTTACAGATATCTTATTCTAACATGAAGCCTCTTAATTGTTTACACAGAAACATTTCCTGAAAATCGTTTACCTGTGGCCTTTAAGTACAGTTGTTGTTCCCTTAGTTGAAAACCGTTGATATACCAGTCATTGATTCACACTTAGGGGCTACGTGATCATGGGATATTTGGCAATCGTCATCTATATGTCTATGTGATGAACCATACAAATACCGTATAATAAAAGTCTAATATACCTTTCCTAGATTTTCGTTTCATTTTTCATACTTTTGAATGGCAGGAAAGCTTTATTTGATGACTTACAGCTTTATTTCACCAATGTTCTATTATTAAATGTTTTTCTTTACGTCTATTAGATGCCACCTATTTATCTGTTTATTTCAGAAAATATTCAGCAAGAAGGCTATAGTTTGGAAATTTGGCCTGCAGATGTAAACTCAAATTCGAAACAAAGATAAATATAATATTTTCAGTAATATGGATCTAACAAGATAAATACTTTCGTTTCATGTGATAAGAGATTGCTTTTCGAAAACCTAGAGTAAATTGATAAGTGGACAGCTCTACGAAATAAGTGATACAATTTTTAGCAGGTTAAGAAACAGTGACATTATATTTAAAAAATTTGACTAACAATAGAGCCTGACGGACCTTTTTAACAGGTCTTAACAGTGCCTTTGATCATTCGATGAAACGACAATAGAAAAACTATAATAAACAGCGCGCTGATTAGAAATGTACCCATAATTTATCAGTTCATGATTAAATGGTCCTGGTTCACTTATATTTAAAACTAAATTTATTTCTCAAAGTAAACCCTCGTCACAATTTTGCAGTGACCAAATCACGTATAAAAACTAAGATGTAACTTTCTCTAACCAAAAACTATCATCTATTTTTGAAAATAAAGAGTAATTAATTTGAACAATATAGTCCTAATTCAAGTCTTCCATCTATAAGTTTAGTAATCACAGTTGCTATAACCCAATAGTGAATTAACTCGACACACTTTAAGCGAACGACACTAGTAGGGAAAGGGAAAACTCAAGCCTGAACACAAGTGCAAGAATACGGATAACAAATTAACGGTTGAAAAAGTAAACAAAAATTACCATTTTTGGTTTCCGGATTATCATTTTGCTTTCAGAAACTCTGGAAATTCTTCGAAATGATTTTCTATATTAGTTTGGAGAAAAACGTGGATGCGCTTTGAAATCAGAAAGTTGTTAACAAGTGACTGTTCCAGTATATAGTGGAAAGGACCATCTGAAAGAAAGTGGTTATAATGAGGAATGGTCTTTTGAAGTATAATATCAAGGTTTTCCTTCTTTTCGGTTAACAATTACGCAAGGTCAGGCGTGTCTATACAAGATTAAGTGTGGGGCGATATCGATCTGTAAGCTGTATACGAGGTTATTTCCATATCAACATTGATTTCTGTAAGCATTGTGTTTTATTGTGGTGATTAACATTTCTGGATTGATTCAAAAACAAAACACCTGAAGCCAAACAATGTGGGGTCGAAGTGGTGGTAATGCGGACCCATGTAACTGTTGCTTATACTAACCAATTTTAAAGGCATACCATTAACGACAACAAAAAAGAAGAGGACATACTATGCAAAAGAATTTGCAAAACTGTTTAAGGTGTCACTACCCGTTTTTACAGATTAATCAATGGTTTTGAAGTTAGTGTTGTCATATCTTCAAAAAGAATGGGTTTTTTAACTGACCCTGGAAGTTATTAAGGAAGCATCTGTATTGTGCATCATTATTATTTTTTAGTTCACTCTGTGAATGTAGGACCAACACAGCGACCAACAAACAACGATCGAGATCGTAAGGCCTACTGGGCCTCGAGCTCCTTCCAAACCAATGCTTAATAAAAAGATGACGTCAGTTAAAATATGTTTTTTCTGTTGTATGACGGTTTCCTGTGTCTCAAGCTCACAAGATGCAATAGAGCAGTTTCATTACTATACATCCACAAATGTAGGAAATTACAATGTTCGTATAACTACTTGATAGGTGAAGAAAAACTCAGGTCACTGATTAAGTGAAACATGGAGAAGACAAAAAATATAGTAGTGATTAAGCCATAAACAAAATCAATCAAATAAAATTATAGAAGTATACAACAATCCAAGTGTTTAATAAATATACAATCAAAATATAACCAAGAATTCTGCATAAGGTGGTTAAAATATTACCTGTATTCTAATATTCTCCGAGGTATAACAAAAACTTAATAATACCGATAAGTTAGGACTTCAAATTAATTTGAGTAAAATGGTTAGATAGTCTGAAACCTGATAAAGAAACTAAAGTAGAAATGCTAACAGGATACAACAGTAGTCAATAGTACATTATTGGTAGGACACCATTAGTTCAAGTAATTAAGAATGGTATTTTAGACGTAACTGTAGTCCATTACTTCAGAACAACGAAACAAGGTAACGTATAGCTTTTAAATAATTTCGTTTGCTCCGGTAACCTCTAAGATTCTTTGAATGACTTGATGAGGAAAGACAGCCAATTTTATATCCCACCTACAGAATAACTCATCTATACTGTCCTTATCTAATAACTAATCAATAGTAAATAAAATACTACAATGTTTTTAACTATTTTTAGTTGTCAGACACTAAATTATTAACAAAATCACCAGTAGAAAGAAATACTGAGAAAAATGGACCTATTTCCCTAAAACTATATGATGATAAGATCCCTATCCCGTATTTTGTAAGACGACCAGGATCCGACAACTTCAAATTATTTTGAATCCTTCTAAGTTGATCACGATCACAAAGAGATGCACACACCAGAGCCGAATAGAATAAAGTTGAGACCACACTTTTTAGACCGAGTGGTAAACGCATAAAACGCTCTCCCGGAAGACTTTTTATCAACATGAACAGCTATCAAATCTCAAAATAGGCAGAACCTTTAGCAAAAATATATCTCAGGGATTATCGTAAGTCCATAAATCTACAACATAATTTCATAACTATCAAGACGCTCACATAGATTTTAAATGTACACCTACTGAATGATAAAAACCGTTTATGAGTATAATGACTGATTTCGACGCGAAGAATGAGAAATACTCGACAGAAAGAGATTCAGTAGACTGTACCTTCGTGACGACTAACAGTAACAGTTGAAATGTTCAAATAGACGGTGGTTATTAAACCTTGACAACTAGCAGTGTCAAAGGTACAAACAAATAGCCTGAGAGAGTAAAAAAGATCAAAATTCGCTCATCAAAAAACAAGGTAGAAATAAAACCCGAAAATAGATCAGATTACAGATAGTAACGTCTTACTTTAAATATTTAATCCATTGAGTCGTTTTGCAATGTGACAGCTTCTTCAGTGAATTAGCATTTGAAGAACATACGGATCCAGTCATATCGAACTCACAGAAAGCACTGAAATGTAAACGTAGTGACAATATCTCCGGAAATGGTTTTGTTTTGTGTTCTGTTTACGTCGTTGTATGGTTGCGTCACACTTTCTAGTGTTTAATTATGCAAGATTTTTGCTTGTTATACAAAGTTTCCAAAGTTGTTAAACGACTTTGATCGGTCGAGCCGTGAGTTTTACGATTTTAACGTTAAGATTGGTTTTGTCATTCTCAAAACTCAAAAGTTATACCAGTGTTTACAATGGAAAAGCATGCAATGAAAAGTTCAGTTCATCATATTCGTCAACCGTTTCACATATTTTCTGGTCATTCTGTTAAGGAAGAAAGTGCATTTTCAATACACTTATGCTTAAGTTAGCAAACCATTTATGCAACAAAACTCAGTATGCGTAATAAAATATACTATACGACAGAGAAAAAGTAACTACAATTCTTTCCGTGCCCGTCATTTCAAGTTGGCATACTTTAGCGTAGTGTTGCCAGATTTGTTAACCATCGGAGGTTGCATCGTATTTATGGAAAGTATGTCGTTCGATAGTACAGTAAAAACGTCGACCGGTAACAGTTTGTCCTACAAGTAAGTAACTCCCAGCCATTGCATGCTAACGCTGTGTAGTATGTTCATAACAGTTCAATGGATTCTCGGAAACAAGCGGATTGCAAATGCGGACTACGATGGTAAGTGAAACGTGAAAACAATAGCACACTATCCAGCAGCTAACAGCCTCGTCGAAAATTTTCACTGCCAAATAAAAACCTATCTCATCACTTGTCTAATACAACCTAACGCACGTGAACTTACGCCACGAACAAATATTTAAATATCTAAAACAATACCAAATAACAATCTCGTTGGACACGTTTTATCTCACGTCATACAAAATATTTCTTGTCAAGTACACATGAACACTCTGGACCTACGTCTGATATTCCTTAGAATTTTTGTGCCTACAGTGTCATAGTTGCGGATATATATTTTGACATGTGAACACTCACTCTTCTGGTAGTAACAAGTAACTTATAGTTCATGTATACATTCGCTCCTGTGTTCTATTAATTTATTATTTTTATACGTTTTGAATCACTAACTGAGTTAAAGTACTTTCATATTTGTATCAGTCCACCATAATACTAATGTCTTCAATATGAGCTATTTTAGGTGGTCGTGTGAGATGTCCCATACACGTAATGACATATGAGTATACACTTAATTTTGTCAAGAATCCTACCCAGTCAAAGTGAACAAGGTTGAAGCACTGATAAAGTTTTGTGAAAGATCCCATGAAGCACCTAAGATTTCTGATAACCTACACAGGAGCGTGTCAGCACCATCGCGTTTTTTTCGAAACAGGACAGCAAAGTCACTCTCAGAATAAGAACTGAAATCTATTCGCGTTTTATCTGGTCACAGATCATTCGTTACTAACTGTGATGTTTAGAAATCAGCAGCCAACTGTTGGTTAGTACAAATATATTCTAGGTATTTTTCAAATGTTCATGTGTGCCGACAAACAGGAATTTTACTCATACATTTAAATACTCGCAACATTTATAGGTAAGAATAATTCTATTTCCCCCCTTAAACTAAAGTGTCTGAGGACGAAACAACGTTAACTTCACTATTAGTAAGATCACATAATTATTAGTTCGACTACTAGAAATTTTATAGTTTACACTATGCATTAACTGAAACTAGACAGACATAAGAACACCTTACAGATATCTTATTCTAACATGAAGCCTCTTAATTGTTTACACAGAAACATTTCCTGAAAATCGTTTACCTGTGGCCTTTAAGTACAGTTGTTGTTCCCTTAGTTGAAAACCGTTGATATACCAGTCATTGATTCACACTTAGGGGCTACGTGATCATGGGATATTTGGCAATCGTCATCTATATGTCTATGTGATGAACCATACAAATACCGTATAATAAAAGTCTAATATACCTTTCCTAGATTTTCGTTTCATTTTTCATACTTTTGAATGGCAGGAAAGCTTTATTTGATGACTTACAGCTTTATTTCACCAATGTTCTATTATTAAATGTTTTTCTTTACGTCTATTAGATGCCACCTATTTATCTGTTTATTTCAGAAAATATTCAGCAAGAAGGCTATAGTTTGGAAATTTGGCCTGCAGATGTAAACTCAAATTCGAAACAAAGATAAATATAATATTTTCAGTAACATGGATCTAACAAGATAAATACTTTCGTTTCATGTGATAAGAGATTGCTTTTCGAAAACCTAGAGTAAATTGATAAGTGGACAGCTCTACGAAATAAGTGATACAATTTTTAGCAGGTTAAGAAACAGTGACATTATATTTAAAAAATTTGACTAACAATAGAGCCTGACGGACCTTTTTAACAGGTCTTAACAGTGCCTTTGATCATTCGATGAAACGACAATAGAAAAACTATAATAAACAGCGCGCTGATTAGAAATGTACCCATAATTTATCAGTTCATGATTAAATGGTCCTGGTTCACTTATATTTAAAACTAAATTTATTTCTCAAAGTAAACCCTCGTCACAATTTTGCAGTGACCAAATCACGTATAAAAACTAAGATGTAACTTTCTCTAACCAAAAACTATCATCTATTTTTGAAAATAAAGAGTAAATAATTTGAGCAATATAGCACCTAATATTTCTGATAATCTACACAGCTGCATGCCTGCAACATCGTATTTTTTTCGAACCAGGACAGCAAAGTCACTTTGTTGCGGTCTTTTAGGCTGCTCGAAAACCCGGATTCCAATGTTTATGCATCATATTTTGGGAATTAATTTTTATTGTTCCTGTACGACAGGACGACCCTTCACTGTAAATGTGCCATACAAATAATTTTTCTTATCGCTTCACATCTTTTAGATTCGTAGTTTCAGGGTCGCAAATGATAGCTCGTGCTCAAAATTGGTGTATTTCTCCTTTAGAACCTGGATGATTTTCAGGAAGGTTGATATTTTAAAAGCTATTGCAGGATATTATATAAGATAACTAGCCTGAAAGTACATGGCTTGCCCTAAAAATATGTTGTATCGCTTAAGTGAACTGAAAGATGTATTATATCTGTCAAAACTCTCAGAAAAGTGCTTGTCCAAAGACAAATTGGGCGGCAAGTTCGGTTTTCAAGCGATGAACAAAGTGGATTCTCAATCCATCGCTGTACGTTTAAAATGCTGTGCAACACAGCACATTGCAATAGTGCGATTAAGTATCTTGTAATTTTCTCAAAATCAATGTCAAGTCTCAAATTTCTCTAGCCATTTCATAAAAGACTTTTATGATTGCTCCTACGATTAAGATCCTTTAGAAGCATATATTAAAAAATTCCTTGCCATCGAGGTGTGGAAATTCAGTTGACTCAACCATGGATTGCTTCACTGTGGAAACTGTCTTCTTCGTAGCTTAGATCAACTGTATATCTTTTGCATTTGCACAAAGTGTGTTAATGATCTAATTGGAGCTGCACGATTCGGCATGAGCCAATCGGTAAAGACATATCTGATTGTCCAATTATAAACGGCTCTACGTAATGCAGAATGGTATTTACTTCATTTTTTTGAAGGCGAATGTCTTGAGTGTTAACGATAAGCTGAAAACAGTTGAGGGAGAAGATTCAGATTCGACATTTCTTTATATTCTCGGTAAATTCAAATCTTTGGAGTTTTTGGAAAATAGGTTTGAATGCTGAAGACATGGTTCTCTGTTCGAACTTGAGATCATACAATGAACAACACATTCGTGCACAGTCAAGAACTATGAATGCGTCATTGACGGATTTTTAGGACGTGTAAGCAGTACTTGAAAGTGAAGGCATGTACTAAAATTCGCGTGGTTTGGAAGTGTTAATGACCGTTTCAGTGACATCGTCCGTAGCCATAAGAATTCGATTTGTTTAAACCAAGTCGATTCTTGAAAAGACGCAATCGTCTTCCAAGGTAGCTGTTAAGTCATGGACATGCAGCAATGCATAGAGCCTTGCATTAGTTCTAGTGCTATACGGTCGATAATTACTAGTAAGACCCTAATCACTGCACTACGGTTTAGAGGATGTCTAAAGGGCCACTTGATGGCATTTTCGAAAATACACAAGACCCTACAGTCGTGAGTTATGTACAGAATTACTGTTTTCGCACAGTAGTTCGGGTTCGCACAATTCGAAATACTTGTGGAGCATCAGCTAGATAATTGGATCTCTCACATGTTCAATTATAACCGAGCACAACCTACAATCAGAAAATAAAACTACACAAACCGACAACTTGGCATTTACATCCATCAACCTCCATTTGCCTGAGTCGATGAGCAGGCAACGGTATCACAGACGGTTTGGAAGATTTACTGTGGGTGTTCCTGTAAGAACATAAATCAAGATCTTTAATTTCTCATGGCCTCAAGATAAACTTTTATTCGGGATGGGTCTTCCTAGGGAGTCTCAGACCGTCTTCAGTCATAATGACGTGTATGAAAATAGGTGAATGAATTACAGAAATCTGTACCTTTGTTTTGAACTGGAACTTTGTTTTGGCAGAACGGTGTTTTTTGGTTTCTTCCATTTCTAGGTCCTGATCAGGCGATACAAGATAAAAGCTAGTTCGGGATGGAAGTAACTGAATTTTTATTTCAGAGACCTTAAGCGGCTTGTCGCAACGCAGCCATTTCATATCTGAAGCACCTCAGGTTGGTGCCATATTTTTAGACAAGTTTGATCTCATTGCATGTGCGTCTTTAATAAACCTGTATATATCAAAAAATGTAAAACGCCATACTTCTCATGAATTTTTGACTGCATTCCTGCTAATGAAAATCTATTTGTCGCGCTTTTTAATTGTCGATCAATGGCTAGTATAGGTAGGTATGTATATCTCACCGTTTATTCAGAAGTAACTCTAAGTTAAGTACTTCTAAGTGTGTTTCAATCGACCTAACCGATAATTCTTGACAGACAGTCTTATCTCGATGGCTCTGAACATG